TCATTACTTAACCCCTATAATTTGGGTTTTCTAATCTGTAAATTGCCAAATATACTCAGAGGTTGCTGCAATTAAGCTAATGAAAATAAATGACTTATATTTGTAAAAAGTGCTCATAAATTTTAAGTATATTAACCATAGCACCAGAATAGTGTTTCATTTTTATACACTAAGTGACATCTTCTATGTTCTCAGCATTAATGAAGTCTTATGCTCTGAGGCTTCTAGCAGCTGCAAAATGTCAGCAGTCTCATGGCTGGTCCCCATTCCCCACCCCAGGAGGGTTTCTGCAACTCTCAGGCCCTCAGGAAGCCCAGGGAGTGTTCTTAGAAAGTATGGTCCAGCTACGAAGGTACAAAAGTCCTTCCCTTCCCAGTTCATCTAAAATAATTCATAAGGCCTAGTATTTATAAGCAGTTGTTAACTGCCAACATTCACATGCATGCTATTAAGTTTAACTTTTGAGTAGATACAGTGAGTCCCTGACTTACTAATGTTTGAGTTACAAACTCTCACAGGTATGAGTGGACTTCACATTACAAATATTTATGGATGTGAACAAATGCAGAAGTAGCTCACATGTCTGCTGGACATTGTCACAGTTGTGCTGCTGTACAGTGCAATAGTGTGCAGTACTACAGTGCTCAGTGAGAGCCCAGGATGTCCTGAAGGAAGAAGAAAAGCAGTGGCAATGTGGAGGGGACTGCTAAGAAGCACAAATAAATATACACTGAGTATTTGTGTCCAGGGTATATAAGACTCATTTTGTTGGACTTACAAACAAACACTTATGAACATTCTCCCAGAATGGAAGTTATTTGTAAGTCAGAGACTGTACTGTCCTCATTTTTCAGATGATTGTTAAAGGGATCAGGAAACACGTGACTTTATTACTCTGTGTAGCAGAGGCAAGATTTGAGCTCATGTTTACCAGTTCCACAGCTTTTATCTGTCTGTACTGAGAAGTTTCCAGACTTGAGCCAGCATGCATCATGAGGCATCCATCACTTGGTAGACGCTCCCAGAGGGTCTGAATAAGTAGGTCAGCAGTGAGTCAGTGAAGTGGTCTCTGTAACAAGGCTCCAAGTGATGCCAACACTGTTGGCCCGGGGACTACACTTTGAGCATCATTGACCAGAGTATTCCTAAGATTCCATCTAAAGTACCTGCTGTGCTTTGTACCAAATAGATGAAGAATAAAATGAGCATAGCATCTCTAGAAATGCAGCAACATCCTTATCAACATTTAGAAATAAGTCATGGTAGTTGGTTAACTGAGAAAGCAAAGGAATATCTGTTAGTTTGTATTCTGCCCATTGATGTAACAGTATGACCCTGAAGCTATATGCGTGTGTGTGGGTGGGGGTAATTTCCTGCCAGATGTTGCCCTCCCATGGGGTCCAGATGGGGTCATGAGACAGTGTGCTTGTATGTGAAGGAGGGGAGGCAGCAGTGGTAAAGAAGTCAGGGCCTGACTTGGAATCAAGCCCAATTTTGAGTCACATCTGCTAACATAAAACTGGGAAGGAACTTCTTCTCAGAGCCTTGATTTTCTTCTGCAGTGAGTTTCATATACATTATTTACTGCTGTGTTGTTAATAGTCTGAATATGGATTTCCTTTCTGTATGTGAAATATAAAAATTTAGAAAGTCTATTCAAAATGACATAACCTGCTCCTTGCTTGGAATTTCCCTCTAAGCACAGCATTTCCAGCCCCTTGGCCAGAGGTGCTTTACTTCCTGCATTACCCCTTCATGTGGATGGAGCTGAGACGCTGGAGGAGAAGTGCCTTATTTCATTACTGCTGCTAGAACAAAGTGTCTTAGACTAGGTAATTTGCAAATAACAGAAATTTATTGTTTATAGCTCCTGAGACTGGGAAGGCCAAGATAAAGATCGGGCAGAGTTGATACCTGGTCTTGGCTTTCTGCTTCATAGAAGGCACCTTGATGCTGTGTCCTCACATGGCAGAAGGGATGAACAAGTTCCCTCCAGCCTATTTTGTAGGGGAACTAATCTTGCTTCCTACAAGCCCCAGCTCTTAAGACATTGCACTGGGTATTGGGTTACTACATACCAACTTCAGGGGACATAAATATTCATGGATTAATAGCCATGAGTCACTCTCCTGAGACACCTGCCCCAGAGGATCTGTGCACATGTACATCTCCTTTTCCCTTTCATTTTCTTTACTTTTCTTCTTTTCTGACTCCCTCCTCTTGTATTTTATCATGGATACTTAAATTTGTGTATTCCCTCTGAAGGTCTTCTTATGTCTGATCTTACTAACCTCAGGGGAATCTCCAATCTTTTCCCCCACTCTTTTTACTGACTTTCCTCATGGAACATTTTTTAGTTCTTGGTAATATATGAACAACTAGCATTTTAATGATATTTTCTAGTGTCAAAGTATGTCCATATTCACTTCTCATCTCAACATATCATGAAACTCTGCCTTGCAGATGATGGAACTGGGGCTCAGAGAGGTTGGTGATGTTCTTAGCAGGAAAGGAATGGGTGGCCTGCAGCTGTGAATTTCCCTTTTCAAAGCCACTGAAGGCAGCTGGTGGGGAAGTCCAAGTGGAAGTTGTGGAAGGTGTGTCATGGAGTTAGTCCTCAATAGTGTGCTGCGGTGTTAAGATTAGAGGACATTAACACTTGAAGTATCTGAGCCAGGGTGACTCTTGAGGACACATGAGGGCAAGGACCCACCTAATGAAATGCCAGGATCACAAGGTGACTTTAAGGTGGTAGTTTCTCACCTGTGTTTATTTGTAGTGCTGGCTTGGTTATCTTAACCGTATAAAACAAAATTTGCAAAGAGGCGCTATGTTTTGTGACTCAGAAAATACCTCTAAAGAGTCCTCTAGTTAGGTTTTTAGAATACACAGCAAAGATGACCACCCCTTTGTCAAAGTGAATGTATTTCATTCTATTGAAGTAGTTACTTAAAACAACTGCTATATTGTTCATGTCCTGCGGCTAGGTGTGTAATCCCTCTCTGCAGACAGAGACCAAGGCTCAGGACACTGCACTAACCCAAGGAAAGGCGCCAGGACTGAGTCATGGGGAGGAAATTTGAGACTGCAATTCACTGGCTCTAGAGACCTTTGTCTTTCCACCATACCCAGCTGCCCACCTTGTTTCTAGGGCTTAAACATCCCAGACACTAATTTTAAAGTAGGGGAATCTTTCATTACCTTACCCTACAAGCTCATAGGGTACTAGATTGAGATAAATCTCTTAAAGTGCTCTTGGGCACTGTGCTAAGGCAGGCATTGATCGTGTGTTGCTCCCTCCTCACCTCTCAGGGCTCCTGTCTTGTGGATGGGCCAGATTCACATAGATAACCTTTGGGCACTCACTTAAAAGAACCAGTGAAAGCTAGGCATGGTGGCGCACGCCTGTTATCCCAGCACTCCAGAGGCTGAGGCAGGAAGATCATTGCACGTTTGAGACCAGCCTGTGCTACAAAGTGAGCTCAAGACCAGACTGAACTGCATAGTGAGACCCTGTCTCAAAAAGACCTAAATAAATAAATAAATAAACAAATAAATAAATTAATTAAATAAAAGAATCAGTGAGGCTAGAACATGAAGACTGCAGGAAAGAACAAGGTTTCAGATCCTGCCAGAGTTTCCCTGGTATTATCTCTGGTCTTCCCACTGACTGCCTCTATTAGATGTCATGGAAAAACTGTGCTCACTTTTACTTCTGAGTCAAGAGCCAGTCCAGACACTCTGCCCTGCTTTTAGCCCTAGGACTCCCAGCCTGCAGGAATGGAAGGCAGACTGGCCTTCTTAAGTGGGTAACTGGTGCATGGCTACACTAATTCACTCAATAGGCCTGATGCTGGGGGAGCTCCATCCTGCACATTTTCTCAGGAGAAGACCTCATTCTTTTGTGATGTCTTTTAGAAAATCTTAAATGTAGCCTCAAGGTTGTAGCAATGTGGAGTGGGATGTGGACCTTGGAACAAGTGGCATCTATAGGGGCTGAGCCTACCCTATTCCTGACTGCCAGTGGCCTGGCCCCATGCAGAGTTTCTCCCTCCTGTGAGGCAGTTAAAGGAGCTCTGGAATTCCCAGGAAAGCAGGGCTGGATGAGGCTAAAGGAGGAGAAGCTATGATTCCATGTGCAAGCATTACCTGTTCCACTCTGCCACATGGAGTTCCAGGCGGCTGTGAGAATATCCTGCTCTGTGTTCTACTGAGACTGCATGCAGGGTAGAGATCCTAGCACTTGGTTTACAGGACTGCTAGGTATCTAGTGAGTTGACGGGTGTGCAGGTGCTGCTATATGTTGTGAAAATGAGAGAGAGACAGAGCGAGCGAGCCCTGGTTCAGGTGCTCAATCCCCAACAACTGCTCTGTGTTTGTGTTTGTCACATGTATCTGCATGTGACGTATTAGAATGAAGATTGTCCCAAGCTGAAAACACAAACTGAATACCTATTCTAGCCCAGTGGTTCTCAACCAGGGGTGACTGCCTCCCAGGAGACATTTGCAATATCTGTTGACATTTTTGGCTGTTACAACTGGATGGTGCTACTGGCAGCTAGGGAGGTTGTTACGGCTCAGGCACCACCACATCAAAGACTCACCCAGCCAGTGTTTCTGGTCTGGGAGCCCACTGCAGCCCAGCCCTGCACTCTACACATGTGACACTGAGCCCTGAGTGAGGAAGCTACAGACCCACAGCGAGGAGGCAGTATCTGAGTAGAGTGTCTCACCCATGTTGTCAGGTGCACAGGAAATCTGAGTTGGTAAAAGTGCAGATGCTGATGCAGTCAGTTTGGTAAGGGGCCTGGGAATCTGCACTCTTCACCCCCTCCCAAGACATGTCCCAGCTGGAAACCAATGATCACTCTTTCAATTGCAAAGTTTGGCCGCAACCTCCTTCTCTGACTGGCACTGTCTCCATGGTAGCCACATCCCAAGAGGCTATTCTAGCACTGTCGGTATCTTCCACCAATTGCTGTTCTTTTTCTCTCCTCTAGGGATCCCTGGGCCTTCCGGGTCCTCCTGGGAGAGATGGCAGTAAAGGCATGAGAGTAAGTCCTGCCCCCACAGCCTGAGCTCACATGGCAGCACTAGGCTACTACCTGCTTGCCCAAGCCCTGTGTTCTGGAGGGGACATAGCCAGTGCCGAGCCAGAGCTGGGGCTCATTTGTACCAGATGTTCCCAGGTTCCTGCAGCTCAGCTTGATCATCACACCAATACCAGCAGCCACTGATAGCACCCAGGTGTTACCTGTGTGTCCTTGGAAGCTGCCTCCTCATTTAGTTGACAAGTAGTTCTACACAGGGTTTTGTCAACCTAAGTGTTCAGACAGAACTGGTTTCAGTGAGGAAAGGGATCACCCAAGTCCCCAGCCCATAACTGAGTCCTCCATGCCCCATGTACTGCCCCATAGCCCATATTGCCAGCCACCTTCCTCTTCGTCCTCAGACTCACTGCACCTGCTTCTGGATTGGAACATGCCCTAGGAACCCAGGAGAGGGGATCTCAAAGAGTAGGTCAGTCTACTCCAAAGAAAAGGGGCATTTTTTCACCAAGAATCCAAACATTGATAGACTCTGGGTTCTCTACCTCTGTTTCTTTGCCATTTTTCCTCCAAGTGTGATCAAGTCTCAGGGTGGAAAATGAGTCATATGCATATGTAAGTCTATAACTGGTAGCACCTCAGGACAGGTTGTTTGAGGTCCTGGAAACTAGGAGAGAAAGGGGACTTATGAGTTCTGGACCCTCTTCTGGCTCCCTCCTGGTGGCTACAGCCATTTTCTGTGATGGTGACCATCACTGGGCTCCAGTTCCTCTGTTCTCTGTCCAGGTCTAATTTTGTTCATCTCTAGCAGTAGAAATGAGGAAGAGGAGAGCTAACACATTGTGCTGTGAAGATCAACTCCTTTGTTTATAGAAAGAGCTTTGGAGGGGAGCCTCAGTGCCTCACCCCTGCTGGTTATTTCCTTTCTGTGATGAATTCTGAGCTGCAGGGGATGGTCCTGAGGAAGCTTCGCACTGCTCTGGTGCGCCTGGACCTGTGTCGTGCTGGCTGTGACCATGTGTTGATTTGTCTGTGCAGGGAGAGCCGGGAGAGCCGGGGCTGCCTGGAGAGGTGGGCATGCGGGTAAGTATCTCTGTGAGCTGCGCTCTGCTACTGTTCCCGGGGGATAGGTCTGGTGAAAAACCAGTTGTTTTAGGTATAGACCAGATGCTCACATTGTTCCCACCTCTTCCCATACAGCTGCAAATACGTGTGTGTATGAGTAGGTATTCATACATATAATTTCTCCTGAATTCTTTCAACAAATAGGTCATATACTTGGCGATTTATCATTTATATCTAGCAAGAGGTTTGAGACACTTTCCAGACCAATAGATAGATCCCATCTACTCTATTTAATCAGTGTCCAGTATTCATGATACCAATGCCTTTGTAATTTGTATAACCTTTCCCTTACTTATAGCCCTGAAATTTCTTTCAAATTTATCTCATGCTTCCCATTAAAATCAATGAAACATGCATGTGTGCATATATGTGTGTGTGTTTCTCCTTCTATACTATATTTTTATTGCAGTAGGATAGATGACAAAAATTGGTTTATCCTTGGCTGAGGAGGTGAGCATTTTTCTTTTAGACAATTTTTATTGGTATTTACATAGCAGTTCATGGTCTGGGTAGCAGAGGAGCCTTGGGCTCCTTAGACTTCCATGGGGCACACTGTAAGGACTTATTCTTGTAGTACCAACAATGTGGCATGTGTAAATGATGAACCACCAGAATCAGCCTCAGCCTTTAAGAAGCTATGAGCATGTCCAGGCCCAGTGACATGGGATAGGTGGGAACTGGGATTGCTGCCTGTGGGTTTGTGACAGCTCAGAGGTACACCCTTAGTAGTTCCTTCAGTTATACTTCAGCAGATCAGAGTGTGATTGTGGCTCCATCAGGCAGCAGAAAGCATGACCTCTTGTGGGCAAGGAGACTGAGATTGCACAGGTGTCCACTGGGAAGACCTAGGCACACAGCACAGCAGCCCTAGCTGGCCTTCTACTGAACATCACTGACTGAATGGCTCTTGTCCTGTCTTTCCGTCTTCAATCTTATCTTTGTGAATGTTCTTCTGCAGGGCCCCCAAGGACTGCCTGGACTTCCGGGGCCTCCTGGGCATGTTGGGCCACCGGTAAGTACAATTACCTGTCTGGGAAAGACACGTGTACTGCCAACATGACTCATAAATGATGGCTCCGGGAAGCAGGAGCCAAGCGCTCTACCCAGCCCCACACCTACATCTCCACAATGGAACTGTCTCTGCTACTTTCTTGTTGCTGGGACAAAATACCTGACACCTGCAAGTTAGAGGAGGAGAGGTTTATTTTGTCACACAGTTTGTAGAGGTTTCGGTCCATAGTCAGCTGCACTGGCAGAGGGTGGCAGGAAATCACCGGCAGAGGGGTATAGCAGAGGAGAAATTGTTCATGTCATGGCAGCAGTAAGCAATTAACTTCCTTCTTTCCATTTATATTCCACTCAGGCTACAAGCCTGTTGACTGGGGTCACCCAGAACCAAAGTGAGTCTTCCCTCTTCAGTAAACCCATAATATAAATCCAAACCAATCAGTGGGCTAATCCAGTGTCACATACCTGTGCTCCAATATCATGATCCATGATCCAGCCCCTTCCCAAAAGCCCGACCTATGAGCATATGAGGCTTTAGGGTGGACATCTAGATATAAGCCGTAACAGGGACCCTTTGTCTTACGTATTTGTGCCAAGAAAATACTGGTTTTTCTTTTCTTAGACTAGAAATTCTTAAATGCTATGGATCCTAAGAGTCATCACAGGAATGGGTTTAAACATATATTCCTGAGACCCCATCCCAAGATAATGAGGCAAAGTAGAGCCCTGGAGTTTCTGACACTTGACCTAAAGAAATA